GTTCATGATGTCATCAACAGTGGTGTTTGCAAAGTTATAAAACTATGTAGGATATCATTCTAGTTTTGTAAAGCATGGTTTCATGTGTCTCCTCAGTTTAAATGTTCTTCAAAATATGGTGATATATTTTTTGAATCTGCAGAAGCTTCACTGCTTTGTTAAAAGTTCGAGAAAGTTAGTGGACTTTCCAAGCTGTTTATAAAATGTTTCAGAAGAGGATAAGAGGGGGAAATATCCCAAGAATACATTAAGCAACCTACCCCAACCAGGAAGACTTGCATAGAATCAAGTCTATGTGCTACAGCCCCTAGGAAGAGGGGAGAGAGGCTGCGCAGACCTGAACCCCTGGGGTTCCGGCTACGATACTTTTCAAAGAGAAGGACACTCCACTCCACTTTACAAAAGCTCTTGGGCACCGTAAAGATTTAAACTGAAATAATCCATTTACACAACCCTAGATATTTTTGTGTAAGATATCCCACTATGCTTTCCTCTTCCTGAAAATGTAATCGGGCTGGTAACGATAAAAGCTTCAGCAAAAGCTTTTATGTATGTATCCAAGTATATAATACTGACTAAAGAAAACGCCTTCCCTTTTGGGGCACAACATTCCCAAGCAAAAGCAAAATGATCAAACATTGTTAAACATTATATATCACATGGGTAATCCTGAGTTAACACAAATAATTTAGACCTCAGTTGCCTTATCTATTAATGGAGGTACTATCACACCATCTTCATATTTAGGATAAATTCAAGTGAAATATATACATAAGATGCCCATTTTATAAACTATATCTATGCTAAAAAGAAAATCATTGAGAAGGTCATTTGGGATTCAATGTTGTTCACCGTGTGTCTTGGAACATCTGGATACAAGGAAGTATTCGGTAGAAAAAGAATGGGACTGGTGGGCAAATGTGAGAAATACTGAGCTAACTAAAGCTAAAGTCTCTATGTGAGGACTTGCAAGAGCCTGCAAATGATCTGGACAAGAAGATGCTGAGGAGTGGGGGTGGGTGGGGAGAACAGTGTCTCCAAAATCATAGAATCTTTTTCACAGAAGGTCTTGTAGGAACAATGTCCTCTTGCATACACTTCAGGCAATTAGCAGGATTAGATGACAACTAATGAGTCTTTAAGCAGTAAAATGATATGACTGAGTTTTTACATTCTGTTAGGAACTAACTAATATCCCAATCATAATTAAATATCTTCTTCACTTCTCACTTCATTTCACTAAGGATCTATAAAGATTTATGTTTGGGGGGAAAAAAGTTTTTTATGTAAAATTTGAATTTTAACCATCATGGATCATGTATGATTTTGAAAAGGCCTCTGTAATGCTCCTCTCTGATTTTAGTTAACAAGGGCATTTTGGGAGGGCGCTGAGATTTAGAAAACAAACTAGTTAGCCCACATTTAAAGGAACTATTGTCATGTGAGTTATTTTCCATGGTATTTGAATTTCTCCCAGTGACCAGCATGTTTCACAGATTCTCTTCCCCAACAGACTTCTTCTATCTGAACTGTCACTTGAACACTCAATTTTATGCTTTGTACCAATCTTGTCTGTATCCAAGGAGGGTGGAGATCTGGTTGAAGGCCCCAGAGACTGAGCAGTGAGACCCCCTTGCCATCATTCCAGCTCTGACCTTGCGCGTTGGCCTCTATGTCTCCGTCCCTGTCCTTCACCCTTGTAGTAAGTACATAAGTGGCTGTTCTGACGAGCAGCTCAATACGCCGGGCTGAAGACCCAGCTTTGCTCTTGTTCTTGCTAATCTTTCTCTGATGCTCTGTTCCTGAATTCTGGACATGTTAATTGGTCACAGACATTTCTTTGATTGCTCACATTTGTGAACATCACCTGTGCTGAGATCCTGGTAATTTTCTTGGCTTACTTTGACACCAAGCATTCCTTTACAGAAATACGCAGAGTTCTCATGGCTCTTCTAATTGTTGGTGTGCCGTATATCTTACCCCATCGGTCCCACACATCTTACAATTTCATCCTTTTCCAGCAAGTTAAATTTAATACTTGAATCACACATTTCCGATTTCTTCCTATCCCTCATTTCAACAATCACTTTCTCAGAGAAGCCCTCTCTGACATCCCCAATAGGAACACATTTCCTTGTTACATGTATTGGGTAAGATGTGGACATGTCTCCAGAGCCACGGGCTATGGCATGGCACACTGGACTAACGTCTAACCCAGCACAAGGCCCTAAGATCTGTGAAGGCAAGGGCCAGAGTTGACTCACCGCTCTATTCTGGCACCGTACCTCCAGAGAGCAGATATTCCACAAACATTTTTTGGAATGACTAAGTGGCTGTTCCTAGTTTTGTCATTAGGAACAATCACAATAAAAACATGATGAAGAAGGTAAACTCTAGCAAAAATGTGTATACTATATATAAAGATAAAAGCAAAAACCGTGTATAGACTTCAGATTTCCCATAAAGTTGGCATGTTTACATTTATTTCATCAAGAGTATTCAAATAGTTTTGGCAGCAGAATGGTATCCTAAAGTTTAACTTAAAATGGGGGGATATTTAACAGCATAAAGGAAGCACAAAGTGACTCCCACGAAAGCAGGAACAGGTAGATGTTAGGAGTCCAAGCCACAAACCATCCCAGTATCTGAAAAAGGGACGAGCAGCGCTTTAGACGAGACCCTTTGACCCAGAGCTGAAAATAGCCCCAAGGTCACAGTAGCACAAGGGCCTTTTAAGTCCAAATGAAATGGGATATATTTTATGCCTAAAGATCTCAAAATGCCACCAGATATTATAATTCTCACTATTATAATATATAATATTATAATGAATTATAATATTCATTTTTTTAAAAACTTTTTGACATGCCCTGGCTGGTTTTGCTCAGCGGATAGAGCACTGGCTTACAGACTGAAGGGTCCCAGGTTCAATTCCGGTCAAGGGCACATGCCCGGGTTGCGGTTGTGGGCTTGATCCTGTAGGGGACATGGAGGCAGCTGATCAATGATTCTCTCTCATCACTGATGTTTCTATATCTCTCTCCCTCTCCCTTCCTCTCTGAAGTCAATAAAAATATAAAAAGTAAACAAACAAAAAAACCCTTTCTGACATATAAATATTGTTGGAATCTCTGAGGAGGCTCAATACTTTAGGACCTCTTTTCTCTACCTAAGTTCTAAACAGTTGGCTAAAGACAAAAGAGTTAACAAGAGGCTAAAACATCCTATAAAATAAAAGCCTAATATGCTAAGTGTCCTACCATTCATTTGACCAGTTGCTATGATGCGCACTGACCACCAGGGGGCAGATGCTCCGACCAGTAGGTTAGCTTGCTGCTGGGGTCTGGCCGATTGGTACTGGGCGAGATAGGCCGGACACACCCTGGAGCCCTCCTGCGGTCCCTCCCCGGCCCCGATCGTGCACCAGTGGGGTCCTTGGCCTGGCCTGCGCCTCTTGCAATCTGGGACCCCTTGGGGGATGTCAGAGAGCCAGTTTTGGTCCGATCCCTGCAGGCCAAACCAAAGGACCCCACCGGTGCACGAATCTGTGCATGGGCCTCTAGTTACCTTATAAAGACAATACTGAAGAGTGTTTCCTTCTGTAAGAAGGAGGCTCTTTTACTAGGGTCAGTATTATCATCAGACATACTTTCCCCACTCCAGTCACAGCCAGGGTCAGATAGGATAGGCCTGCCCACATGGAGGTCCTGACGCTGAGGCATAGATGTGGGGTGAAGCAGAGAGCAGGTGCTCCCTATGGACAACTCACCTTCAAGGGACAGAGAGGAAAGGGCTGACCTATGCATGTCCAGTTCCTGCTCTCAAGCTAATCAACCAGATATGTTAAAAAAAATGGGGGGGGGGAGGAGGAGAGGACAGAGGGGGAAGAGAAGCCAGGGGTATTACTGTCATGAATGTCCCTCCGCATGAAAGCATATACTGGAGATGCAGAATAAGTACTTTTCCAAAATAGAGATGAAATAGTGAAAATGATGGGGGGTGGGGAGAGGAGGAGGGAGAGAACAAAGAAAAACAAAGAAGAAAAACACAAAGGAACGATACTCTTGAGTCCCTTTAACTTTTAACTGCTATGTGCCCAATGTGGCTTTCACATTTTCATCTGTAAAATAGGAATAGCAACATTTGCTCTGACTATAATACGTGGTGTCATTACAAAAATCTACTGAAATAATATATGTGAAACAGCCTTTGAAATGATAAAGCACAATATAAATCAAGGCATCGTTACCACCATCATCATTATCATTATATTAGTAGTGTAATATTCCAGAAATATTTCAATCCAACAAATTTAAAGGAGTCTTTGGAAAGCTTGGAGTGGCAGTAATTTTTCGACTTTATCCATTTAGAAAAAAGAACATTCCAAACCATGGGGCAAAACTTTGAGGATATCTTTTTCTAAAATAAGCATAACTATGATAACACACCAGTTACAACTAGTTCTTCTCATTCATCAGATAAAAGTAATATTGCTATCGAGTATACATTTTATGTTTCCCAGCTACTGAATTCCTTCGGTTCTCAAGAAATTACTATTTATCAACCAGGCAAACATTCCAGACCACTATAGGAAAGTGTACTTTGATGACCAGTTTCTTTTTCCCACACATTTACTTATTTGAAGGAGAATGCATAGCAAAATACATAAAGGCAATAGTAATGAGGGGAGCATATACAATCAGGCTGGAATTCATTAGGCTTATAAAATGTTTCTCTCTCTCCTTTAACTTAAAGATTAAGAATTCATGAGGGGGGAAAAGTGTGGAAAATGGGAGATATCTGTAATACTATCAACAATAAAAATATATTAAAAAATAAAATAATCTGTAATTTCAAACCCAATTATAACCACTGCTGGTGTTAAAAAATAAAAATTCCATTTATTTATTTATTTATTTATCTGTTAAACTATATTCACAATGCTTCTGCCTATAAATGCAGGATACAAAGAAAAATGAAACCAAGGTAATCAACAGAAATAACCGTTATCATTTACAAAACATATTCAGAATTTCAAGCCTCAGATATTTTTAGTTAAAATTGACCGTAATGATATACCTTTGATTATTCATACACTACTAAACATTAAAGTTTTTCTGCATTAATTTGATAAAATGTCTTGACAAGTTTGATATGTGCAAAGTGAACTGTGACTTCACCTTCTTTTAACCTCTTCTTCTTACATTTCTTTTAAAAGGAAATGTCTTTAAGATTACTTACTATTGCTTAAACAGTGCTACCTTTATTACCAAGTTATCTACTTTCTTTAGTCCAGACAAAAATATTTTCTATTTTCAGGGAATGCTTGCGCCATCTACTGGAGAAATATATTACCACTTTTGTCAAACAAGATCTATAACCGCAACTTTGAAACAAAATCAGGCCCTTTTCTTTCTCCCATTTTAAGGCGTGTGTCAGTATAGGAAAAACCTTTTCCTCAACATAACAAAAATATTGACATTCATTCAAATAGCTCAATATTCCCATCTTCATGGAATAACTTGACACATAAATTCACAGGCAAAAATAAAAGAGAAGCACAGATAGAGAAAAGGAGATAAGGAACCATTTTGCACCTAAGTTTTTAAACCAAGTATGAACAGAGGCCTCTCCCATTTAACCATAACGTTAGGGCTAAAGATTAGAATTCTGTCATGTGAACATGTAAAATATAAGGATTACTTCACAGAAAGGAATTAAAGCCATTCTGAAGGTATCTCTGAATTCCTCTCTCTTCCCCTCCCCCCCAATTTTAAAGCACTCACTATTTATTAACTGGCCAGATTACAAAAATAACTATTTTTTTGATATCTTAGTCCATTCTTCTAATAAGTCTATTGAGCTGGTCTTCCCTGTTGTCAGCGTTTCCACCTTCCACAAAATGGGTGGCCTTTCTTCATTCTAGCTCTTGGAAGATAATTTGAAGGGCCACAGGAAGTTGTTTGCTTCTTTGAAGCATTTTCCAGCAGCATAGATCTCACGAGTCAGACTCTCCATGCAGATGATGCTGTGTTTACCAAAAGATGGAGCAATCACTGTGTTCTGTCGGGGCAATTCGCCTTTTGTTGATTTTGCCAGAACCATGCCTGGAGATCAATACATTTACTGACTTCAGGTTCGGGTACCCCATGCAATACATGGTTTCACAATCCTCCGCGTGTTCATTGAAGCCTTGCGGAGCTTAACAAAGGTGCCACTGGAGATCTGGCAAAGGTGCTGCACCTTTCCAACCTTTGGGCTCACGCCACTGATCCCACTGATCCTGAGGACAAATGCCAGCTTTCTTGACGTCCTAATCTCCGTTGTGTACATCTGCCTGTATTCCTTGTGATAGTGTTTTAGCTCTTTATTCCTTTTTTTTGGTCCTCATTGGAGGACACGTTCATTGAGTTTTAGAGAGAGGGGGAGGAGAGAGAGGGAAGGAGAGAGAAACATTGATGTGAGAGAGAACATATATAGGTTGCCTCACATGCACAGCTGACCAGGGATCAAACCTGTAACCGAGGTATGTGCCCTTATAGGGAATCGAATCACGACCTTTCAGTGTACCAGATGAAGCTCCAACCAACTGAGCCACACTGGCCAGGGCTAGCTTCTTCATAATAACCTTCCTCCTTGCCTTTCGAAGCAGCTTTTGGGCAAACTTGTTTCTCAGGTGCTTGATGTTCAGCTCTGCCAAGTTCCTTTGCTTTTTCTTAAGGGTTTCTGGCGTAGCAGGAACCTTCTTTTCTTCTCTTCTGCCCCTTCATGGTTGCAGCCAGAAAAAGCACTCCGAATTTTTCTTAGTAAGTAACCACAATAAGATGGAGTGTAAAAAAAATCAGTACATAGAAGACAATAACCTGTAAATATATATTTGTTTCAATTCTCTTTATGGTTTCACCTCTGAAACAGCAGCAGAACTAAAGTTTGAGATCTGTTCATTTGCAGTTAAGAAGGAGTGCTATTTTTTCCTAAGAAAAAAAATGGAGAATCTTGCTTGCAGGTCTGAATCATAATTACATCCTTGGGTGGAGCACAAACATATCCATGTTTCAGTGAAATGCATAAATTACTAGAGAGTTATAACTGTAACTGAAAGTTGTAACTGTAACCGGCTAGAATCCAAATTATTTTCAATTTATCAGAGGGCTGTTTCCCACTTTGTTTGCTCCACAATTACAGGAAAATAGAGAAGAAAAACTGACTTCACAGACTGCAAGACGTATGTTGGAGTCAGTGCTCTTCAGTGATATTTACTTAATATTTACTTCATGCCGTTTAGGACAGAAGATATGCTAACCATTAACATAAAGTAGAAAAAGGATGAAAAGTGAAGATAAACTACCAAGGGTGTCAGAGAGTCTCAGATGGATAATCATAAGCAAATAAATGACCCTTAAGGATCAAATGAAGTAAAACATATTTATGGATTCTACTCTAGAAAGCAATACAAAATTGTAGTAAATATTAAGGGAATTTTCAACAACTTAGTTTCAAATGTAAAAAGATTTCCAGTGAGACTTAGTCAGTTAGCATTCAAGTTAACTAACCTTTTAATTCAATCTAAAAGTTTAAAATGACAGACTATAATAGAATATATTCTGTCATAGCATCCATTCTATACAGATATTTTTTCAAATAACTATTCCCAATGCATTTCATCATAGTTTTCCTTATAACAGGTTACATTTTTAAAGATTTACTGAATTCTAGCCATTGTATTTTATACTTTACATATATTATGTCAATATAACAACCTATAAGGTAGATATAGCTATTACTATAAAACTACCATAAGTATAGTCTATAACTTCTGATACTTTTAACACTACAAAAATATTCATTGAATATTTACCAAGTATACTTCAACTCTGCCACCAGATTCACTTCACAGTTATAGTTAATTGTAAAGGAATGGCCACCACCTAATCCTATATAATAAAAGGTTAATATGCAACTAGACTGAAGGGCAGAACAACTGGTTGCTATGATGCACACTGACCACCAGGGGGCAGAAGCTCAATGCAGGAGTGGCCCCCTGGTGGTCAGTGCACTCCCACAGGGGGAGCGCGGCTCAGCCACTAGCCCTGAGCCAGGCTCACAGCTGAAGAGTGCAGCGGTGGATCCTGGACTGTGGAAGGGCATAGGTTGGGCTGAGGGGACCACCCCCCACCCCCCAAGTGCACGAATTTCGTGCACCAGGCCTCTAGTATGTACACAAAACACTCACCTTCATGTATGATTTTAGCCCTTATATATGGAGAAGGTGGCCTTGATCTCAGAACAATCAGACCAAGACCACTCCTTGCATATTGGAAGGATGCATCCTGGACTAGTTGTGATTTGGTTGTGAATGAAAAACTGGCCATTCCCTGCTGGGGGCTGTTAAGGTAAGAGTCCTCATTTGGAGAGAAGACTAAGAGCAAAATCCCAGGGCACCTTTGTGAGGTGCCAGCTAAATCAGGCCAGCCTTTGGGTAGAGCACAACAGCAGATAAACAGTCAGAATCCACCAGGCTGATGGCAAGCTTTACTGGTGTTTCTTTTTTCTTTTAATCTTTATTGTTGAAAGTATTACATAGGTCCTCCTTTTTCCCCCCTTTAACCACTCAGTCTCTCCCCTCCCCACAGGCCCTCATCACTCCATTGTCTGTGTCCATGGGTTATGCATATATGCATACAAGCTCAATGGTTGATGACTTCCCACTCACCCTCTCCTACATTCCCTCTGAGGTTCAACAGTCTGTTCATGCTTCTATGTCTCTGGGTCTATTTTTGATCATCAGTTTATTTGATTCATTAGATTCCACATATGAGTGAGATCATGTGGTGCTTGTCTTTGATTGGCTTATTTCGCTTAGCATAATACTCTCCAGGTCCCTCCATACTGTTTACTGGCGGTTTATGTTATTCTCTGCAACGACTTTATTTGTTCTTCCTCAGCATAAAGGCGCTGGAAGTACTAACTATTGTAACTGGTCAAACAAAAACAAGGAAGGAGAGTCCAGATGGAAGAGAAAGAAAATGAGGGGCAGGCAGGGCACATCTGAGTCCTGGTCTGGTAGGAAGGAAGGGTGTGAGAGAATACCTCCAGGGAGGGAAACCCACATCCCAGAGAATTCTCCTTCCTAACTAACACATGGGAGGTTTATGGTTCTTTTACAGGCAGCAGGATTCTCTTCCAGCAGTTCTCACTAACTCTCAGGAACAGGGGAACAAAGTTAACTACTTATTAAACATGGAATTAGTATAGTCTCTATCTGAATATTACACTTAGGATTCTAAAACTGGTCTCAGCTATTCCTAACTGTAAACAGAGGCAATGATTGGTTTCCTAATTGCCTCAAAGAATTATTCCAAGGATCAGATGACCCAATAGATATAATAGTTCTTTCAATACGTGTAAAGATATTATAGAGATGTAAAGAAACGCTGTTAGCAGTACTAGGTTGAAATCTAGGCCATGTCTTGACATCATCCCAAGGAGCTATATTTGAGAAATTCAATTACTTGGCTGATTTATCTATATAATAGAAAACAAATGACTTAGCTTAAGTGTTCACTTGATTGACAATTTGGGGTGGGGGCAAAGGGTGAAAGTGACTAATCAACTAACTGTTCTGACTCATCTGACCCTGGCTGTATAATCATGGGGGGAAAAAGTTTAAGTTTTCAGACTCATTTATTGTTCGTGTAGGAGAGGAACCTTTCCTAAGAAATACATTTTCACAATATTTCAAGCCCGTTTGACCATTTTTAACCTAATAATTTTTCAACAGTTAGAAGCTTTAAAAGTATGTCAAAATCCACCTATTCTAATTCAGTGGTTCTCCAATGTTAGCAAGTGCTGAGAGCATGTAGAGGGCTTGGGAAAGCCACGCTGCTGAGCCCCACACCCTGATTTCTGATTTGGAGCAGCCTAAGGACCTGCCTTTCCTACAGGCTCCCAGGGGATGCTGGGGCTCCTAATCCACCCTAACCACTGATCAGTCTATAACAGGGGTGGGCAAACTTTTTGACTCGAGGGCCACAATGGGTTCTTAAACTGGACCGGAGGGCCGGAACAAAAGCATGGATGGAGTGTTTGTGTGAACTAATATAAATTCAAAGTAAACATCATTACATAAAAGGGTATGGTCTTTTTTTTTTTTTTTTAGTTTTATTCATTTCAAACGGGCCGGATCCTGCCCGCGGGCCGTAGTTTGCCCACGGCTGGTCTATACCTACTGCAACTCCAACAAACACAAACAAAAATCTCAGCCATATGTACATTTAAAAAGGAATTTTACCTAAAAGTACATAATTAGTTAGGGTTTCCCTACAGTACTCTGAACAATTTTTCTAACTGAAGTAAACCAAACCAAAGAAAACCATTTTTCTCTTTTCTTCTTGTACAGGGGTGGAGAAAAGTAGGTTTATGGTTGTTCATATTGGAAATAATACAAATAAAGGATACATTAGTTAATTAATAATATAAGAATAAACTCTCGCTGACTCGCAACTGTGAACCTACTTTTGCCCACCCTGTATTTGATCATAGTGCCCCCACGTGGATGGAAAGATTACTGACAAGAAAGAAATTAGAACAATTCTCAAGAGGATGAAGTCACTATAAATTTATCATTGTATTTTGCCGGAATGCTCAACCTGGTGCTTTGCCCAGATACACCCAGTACAGGTTCATGGAATAAATACCCACACATACTTTAGAAATGCTAACCACTCTTACCCTCAATGTTGTATTTAAAAAACACTAATATGTCTGCCAAGAATTACAAAATCTCTTTTAGCTCTTCAATTCTATGCTGGCATGAAGTAATCCTATTTAGAATACAATAGAATATATATTAGTCTCTTTCTTTCTCCTCCCCCTCTCTTAATGTAATGCCCCTCCATGGCTGCAGCCAGAAAAGCTGGAAGTAACAGGGAGACCAATACTATTCTATGATTTCCATTCTCACAATCATTAAGTTCCTCAAAGCTGTGATGGCATCTATATATATAAAAGCCTAATATGCAAATTGTCCCTTCAGGAGTTCAACCGGGAGACCGATTGCTTGCTATGACGTGCGCTATCCAACAGGGGGCGGCATGGCATGAAGGAAGGCCCTGGCAGGCAGCCGGGGAAGGGAGGCTCCAGCCAGCAGCCAGAAGGCCCCGGTCAGCCCTGGTCGCCAGCCAGGCCTAGGGACCCTACCTGTGCACAAATTTCATACACTGGGCCTCCAGTTGTAATAATAACTCATTTAGAGGTTAGAAAGAAAATCATCCGTGCTTAATGACTGTAATGCAAGGTGGTTACATGTGTTCTGGCTAAACTTGTTTTCCCAATGCAGGATTACTGGCAATTGTCTATTTGTGCCATATCCTAGAGGAATTCTTTAGGATAAAATCAAGTTTTTCCTAGGTGTAATCAATAATACCTTTACACTCCACTCCACAGAAATGTGCATAATATTTTGAGGTACTATACCTAAAAACTTATCAGCTGAATATACTTTTTACTTTGATTGGGATATATGGAATCAATACACAAAGGAGCCTTAGTCAATGTCGCAAATGGAATACTGTTGATATCTACAAATTATTTAACATAATTTTTAACATAATAGTAAAGAGGCTTGGAGCTTAAAGGCTTGATACTGACAATCTTTTTCTTAATAATTTCCTTACACGCATGTGTCTTTTGCCTATTTCCCCTCCCACCTACTAGCATGTATATACATATATCTTCTTCACTTTTCATCATTCTCTTACCTTCATAT